GTTTGAAGCCGCTCCATTTTCCTGCACAAGACGTGGTTTCTTCTGAGACTGCGTCTACAGTGCAGCGAGGCAGCAAGCAAAGGGGCGGCGGCGTTTTTGAAAAGATTTGTGGCCCATCAGCATTTTCCTCGTCGCAGTTGATAACTCAGAGTGGTATGTCACACTTCAGCCCAAGATGCACGCTCCTCCCCTCTCCTCCCAACCCCACCCCTCTTCTCTTCCTTTCCCTCCTCTCCCTTCTCCTCCCCGTCCCTCCCCTCCTCCTCCCTCCTCTCCCCTGCTCTTCCATTTGCACTGCCCCTTTTCCCATTGATTATGCCCTGATCTGTTGCCTCTCCGTCTCCTTTTCCCTCCTCTGCCCTTTCCCCCCAGCCCCAACCTCTCCAACCCTTGTCATATTCCGCACAAACATGTTTGAGAAGAGCAGACATGATAGTTGCTGGTTTCTTGATATTATTTAGTGAAGTCAAAAATACTATTCTCCGCATCTCATCCCCAACCTCACTCCCCTCATACACGGGTATCCCAGAGCGAGCACTGTCATTCACAGAATTTTCTTGCTTGCCCTTTGTAACTGCTCGCCTCTCCTCTGCTCGCCTCTCCCTCTTCCCTTCCCCAACCCCAACCTTCACCATTCGCCTCTACTGGAGGTGAGGTTCCTAGTTCGAACCTGTCAGTCACAGATACCTTTCCCCCCTCGCTGTGGCGTTCCTGGTTCCTCAAAACACTCAATCCATTCTTCTCCCTCCTCTTTCTCTCCTCTCCCTCTGCCCTCCTCTCGCCTCTCACCCAACCCCAACCTCCAGCCCTCCCTTCGCGGAAAATGAGCCTAAGGCGAGCATTTTCGCACATGTCCCTTTCTTCCTTGGGGCAGGCGAAGTGATAGCAGCAGCTGCAGCAGCGGCTGTGACTGAGATTGGGCTAAAGCTACCACCGTCGCGCATGTCCCTTTCTTCCTTGGGGCAGGCGAAGTGATAGCAGCAGCTGCAGCAGCGGCTGTGACTGAGATTGGGCTAAAGCTACCACCGTCGCGCATGTCCGTTTCTTCCTTGGGGCAGTACAAGTCATAGCAGCAGCAGTGGCGGCAGCAGCAGCGGCGGCGGCAGCAGCGGCCGCGGCGGCAGCAGCAGCAGCAGAGCGGCAGCAGCAGCAGCAGGTGTAGCTGTCACAGGGAACCCGAGGTGAGCCGTGTCACACATGTACGTTTCTTCCTTGGGCAGTACCAAGTCAGTTTTTGAGACGCCTCTAAAACAGTCATAGCAGCAGCTGCAGCTGTGACAGAGATAGGGCTTCAGGCAAGCACTGTCGCACGTGTCCAATTCCTCCTTGGGCCAGTACAAGTCATAGCAGAAGCAGCAGCAGCTGTTACGGGGATTGGGCCAAACGCAAGCACCGCCTCGCATTTCCCTTTCCGTCTAGGGCCAGTTCAAGTCATAGCGTGGCGGCAGCGGCAGCAGTTGTTACAGAGAATGGGCCTAATGCAAGCGCTGTCACAGATGTGCCTTTCCTCCTGCAGGCATTTATGATTATAGCAGCAGCCACATTCATTACCAGCCCAGATCCCAGCGTCATTCACCCTGTCACTAAGTTTGGAGTTTTTTTCTCTGCCAATCCAGACACCAATCCTCATTCACACTGCGGCAGAGGCAGCAGCTGCTGCAGCAGAAGCTGTTTGGAAATGGCTGTGGATAATTATTAGGTGGATGTGCAGACACGAGTTTAGCAGCAAGTGCTAGTCACCGATACCAGCTTCAACAAAGCGCGTGCTAAGAAAGGAGGGCTTATCTGAAAGTGTTGCTGCACCAGGCAAGCAAACAGGGGTTGGTGGAAAGCAGGAGCAGTGATAAGATGCTTTGTGGTGCTGCTGCCGCTTTTCTCCTGCTTCTTTAGCGGCAGTTTACAGTCTCTTGATTCTATCCCTGCAGTTACAATGTCTTCTTCTTCTGCTGCTGCTGCTGCTCTCACGACAGTTACGATTCTTCTACTGCTGCTGGTGGTCTTCTCAGTTGCTCGTTGGAAGGTTACTACTGCTGCCACTGCTCATGTGGGTTTCTTTGGCCAATCCATCTGCTCAGATCCTGCGTTTGAGCCATATACTACTGATCCTAGATATGCATTATTCATTTGACATTGTTTTGGCAGCGCTGTTGCTGCAGTGAGAGATGCCATAACATTTAGGACACAGCAAAAATTTACTGTACTTGTACGGTCTTGTAGCATGTTTCCCATCACATGCACCCACAGACATGGACCCATGCATATGCCTACCCTTCCCACCCCCACCCTCATAAACACACATTCTTGTTTATGAAAGAGAAACAAGAAGCCTGAGCCATTAGCTATCAAGGCGGTATGGCACTTCATATGAACTTGTAATTCAACAAATTGTTCATACCGTAAGATGCGGTCATAATGAAAGTGGCCCTCTACTTGTTTTTTGCTTCTTCTCCTTTTTTTTTTATCTGTCCTATTTGTTATAGTAGTTAGTTTTTATTAATGTTTTCATGAACCGAACTGTACCGTAGTTTCTGCCAGCTGGTTATATCATTCGGCGTTGTTCACCGTGTGGCTAGTCTTGCCATGACGGCAGGTGGGTACTGCGCCACGTGGATACTTCTGTGGCCTAACCCCTGCCGATGGGATCATTCAGATAAGGACGATTGGCGGAAACTGCCAGCACATCACTTTTTGGTGGAAGAGACCTCTCCAGTCGTACACATCAACGCTTGTTCTCGCTGGCTCTGCCACAATCGTCGCTCGCGAGGAACTTGACAAGGTAACAGCTTATCCTCAGAGGCCAATACTCCACCATTCTCATTCATCCCTTCCAGTCGCTTGAATTCGTCAGCTTCGCAAATATCGCTTGCCTGACTGCAAGATATTCCCTAGGGTTTCCCGTTGGTCCTCTCTCCCTGACTACCCTGCTGCTCTCATTTCCGATCAGAAGGCTTTTGTTTCTTTGCTTGGAAAATTTACTCCCAGCCAGAGACAGCCTCCTCTAGCTTCACTAGCTTCATCTCTATTTGCCGACACAACCACACCATCAGCCATGGCTGCTATCGCTTCTTCCTGCCAACTGGCTGTTGCCCCCACCGCTGCTGTGGCCAAGGTCGCTGCTCCTAAGCGTCAGGCCCGCATTGTCTCCTTCGGCCAGTTCTCGGGTCTGAAGGCCTCCTCGTGCGTGTCGGCTGTCGCTGAGAGGAAGACTGTTGACGAGAGCTTTGCTCAGATCGCTGCTGCTACCAGGCAGACTGGTGCTCGCGGCGGTGCTCTCTCCTCCAGGTGCGACGTCGGCGCCGAGATCTTGCGAGTGGTCCCCATCATCGGAGGCATGATCTTCGTCGGCATTGCTCTGGGCTTCGTGCTGCTCCGTGTTGAGGCCTGGGTTGAGGAGGAGGAGTCTTAAATGGCTGTTCCCATGTTCATTATAAATGAGAAGCTCTCCGTATATTGAAAACCATTATTCTTTTTTCGATATTCAACTAATATGTTCCTCTTCTCCGTTGACGGACCCAGACATAGCCATGCCTTTCGATCAAGGCGCTAGCAACGTTCGTGCTGCAATGTTTGTCTGTTCGCTGGATCGAACCCCGAGTTACTGCACTTAGCTCGTCATGGCATTCCACCTTTCGTGATGCGCGCGTTAGCCGTCCGAACGAAATGTGTACCTTCTGCCGATTTCCGCCGTCTTCTTGCAAACTGATGTCGGAAGGCTAACTTTATTCATGTCACGGCTCTGTCTTGCCTGTGCTTCTTGAGTCCCAAGGTTTTAGGTGGTTCGTGATGCTTCTGCTTTGTCAAAAGCTATCCAAACCAAATCAGTTGGCATGGCACACCCTTTTAATTTTACATAAAGACAGTCAATGCTCATAGACCGTCTCCTGGATTGGTACCGTATTGGATCAGGCTGAGAAATCAGTCATGTAAATTATGTAGGTGATATTTAGGCAGAAAAACCCCAGTTCCCTGAAAGAAGGCTGGTGAGTCAGTGCTGAAAAAAAGGCTGATTAGGGCCTGTTTACAGGTGTTGAACATGAACTGTAGTCAAGTACGGTATTGGCTGGACTTCTTATGATTAAAACCAGGGTACACATACAACGCGACTCCAGGCTAAATTTTGGGCGGCATGTTTGCGGGAACTGCTGATTGGTTGACGAGTAGCGAATAAATAGTTGAGAATGGGCGAGCATGGGGCTTTTCGTCCGTGAGAGATGAGGCTTGGCAGGGGAGAAATTGATAACACTTGGATCTAGAAATTGGGGATCAAGGGGAGGGCAACTGGGTTGGCGGAAAGGGGAAAGGGGGTGAGACGATATTGTGGGGGAAGGGGAAACAATTTCGGTGGGAGCGGAATAGGTATGGGGAGGGGGGAAACGAATTGGCGGAAGCACATTCGATGACTTCGGTATACATTTGCCAAATCTCGAGGGTTCAAATGTTCACCTGCTGAAGCGAACACTCCCCCCAGATATTCCTAAATCACTGAGTAACCCCGAGGTCAAAGGTTAACCTTTGACAGAAATCCAATTGAATGTGCACCCTGGTTTTAAGTTAATCATCATCCTTCCTGCAAACAGCTACCGTACCATGCATGAGAAGTCAGGAAGTTTCCCAGGGAACCTTTTAGGTAGGTAATTGTTCTCTCAATTGGTTGGTATGGTACGGTGCTATGATGCAAGGCTTGCCAGGCTGTGGCTGAAGGGTGGGTGGCAGGAAGGCTAGAGTTTCCAGGTCTTCATCGAGTTCCTTAGTCCTGCTAAGAGTGCAGAATACACCTCATAGACAATTACGGTAATATTGAAGCCATACAGTGCAGTGCAGAGAAACTGTAACGCTGGACAAGTTGGCCAACTTAATAAACAAGGTCACAACACTATTTCCTTCACAAAACCTACCGTAGTACCATATTAAGCTGTCTTCTGTACGTGTGTATGTATCATTGCGTACGAAACAGGGTTTGACATTTACGGTTACATAATTCAACGGCTTCACCCGCAGATCTAAAGGCCTCCAGAAGCTTCCAGGATCTTGCTTGCTGGGGCTCTCTGCCTGCGTTCCACAAAGGCCGAAGGAAACCACCCAGCCTTTCCTTTCGCTTCGCCCTCCGACCAACCGTTGGGTGACACCTGTCAGGAAGGAGGGTGGGTGGGATGTACGCACATGAAGTTCCAATGGGACGAGTGAATTTTAAAGGATGGAATAGGAGGGGAAAAAAGGATATGCAATGCATGCCTTGAATTATCTCAGAATATTGAAGGAAGTGCGCGAGGCACATGCACTTTGGATTTGGGGAGGGGGGTAGGAGTTGGAAGGGGGGTAAAGGGAACTTGTAAAAGCCAAATGAAAAGCAGGAAGGAAAAAGATGACAGAGACAAGCACATGTGATAGTGGGGCATGCGTGGGGGCTGAGGCAGCATGCAGAGTGGAAACACTCAACCCTCCTTTTGATTATGCATGGGGTTGATGATCAACACTCAAACACCTGTCACATTCAACTGCCCACCTGTCTTCCCTGAAACTCTCAGCTGCCCACCTGTCTGCCCTGAAACTCTCAACCATCCAACTGTCTGCCCTGAAACTCTCAGCTCCCCACCTGTCTGCCTTGAAACTCTCAGCTGCCCACCTGTCTGCCCTGTCTGAAACTCTCAGCTGCCCATCTGTCTGCCCTGAAACTCTCAACCGTCCACCTGCTGCCCTGAAACTCTCAGCTGCCCACCTGTCTGCCCTGAAACTCTCAGCTGCCCACCTGTCTGCCCTGAGACTCTCAACCGTCCACCTGTCTGCCCTGAAACTCTCAGCTGCCCACCTGTCTGCCGTGAAACTGTCAGCTGGCCCACCTGTCTGCCCTGAAACTCTCAGCTGCCCACCTGTCTGCCCTGAAACTCTCAGCTGCCCACCTGTCTGCCCTGAAACTCTCAGCTGCCCTCCTGTCTGCCTTGAAACTCTCAGCTGCCCACCTGTCTGCCCTGAAACTCTCAACCGTCCACCTGTCTGCCTTGAAACTCTCAGCTGCCCACCTGTCTGCCCTGAGACTCTCAACCGTCCACCTGTCTGCCCTGAAACTCTCAGCTGCCCACCTGTCTGCCCTGAAACTCTCAGCTGCCCACCTGTCTGCCCTGAAACTCTCAGCTGCCCACCTGTCTGCCCTGAAACTCTCAGCTGCCCACCTGTCTGCCCTGAAACTCTCAACCGTCCACCTGTCTGCCCTGAAACTCTCAGCTGCCCACCTGTCTGACGACCACGTAGTCGCCCACATGGAGAGACATCTCCCCTGGACCCTCCGCCTCGAATGCATGCACCACCTGACGATATGACGCCTCCTGTCCCCCCATGCAACCAATCAACCGCCCACATGTCTGCCCTAAAACATTCAATGTCCACCTGTCTCCCCTGTCAACATTCAATCACCCACCTGTGAAATGAATAAAAATAATATAAAAAAAGTCCATACCTGTCTGACAACCACATAGTCGCCCACATGGAGAGTCATCTCCCCCGGACCTTCCGCCTCGAATGCATGCACCACCTGCGAGATGGAGTGTGGGAGGACAGGGCAGGAAGGGAAGGGAAGGGCAGTTAACACGTTGAGAGTCATCTCCCCGGGGCCTTCCGCCTCGAATGCATGCACCACCTTAAAGATTGAATTCGGAAAAAGGTGGGGAAAAGGCAAGGGAAAGGCAGGCTGATGATAGTGAATGGAGGACAGGGCAGGGCAGGAAGGGAACGGCTGTCAACACACTGAAGAACACCTCCCTGGGACCCTCCGCCTCCCTGGGACCCTCCGCTTCAAATGCATGCACCACCTGATGATAGAAGTGCATGGAATGCAGGGGAAGGCAGACTGATGATAGTGAATGGGGAAAAAGGCAGGGCAGGAAGGGAATGGCTGTCAAAACACTGAAGAACACCTCCCTGGGACCCTCTAAGGGAAGGCAGGGCAAGACAGGGCAGGGCAGTCAACACATGGGCGCATCTCTCCCCAGGACCCTCTGCCTCGAATGCACGAACTACCCGCGAGATGGTGTGTGGGTGGTGAACGGGGTAAGGAAAGGCAGGGCAAGACAGGGCAGGGCTGTCAACACAGTGGGGGACATCTCCCCCGGGACCCTCCGCATCAAATGCATGCACCACCTGCGAGACGGCATGTGGGGAAATGGCAGCAGGAAAACATGCGAAGGGCTGTCAACACAGTGGGGGACATCTCCCCGGGACCCTCTGCGTCAAATGCATCACCACCTGCGAGATGGCAGGGGGAGGAAGGCAGGGCAGCGAGGGAATGCGGGAGAAGGCAGGGGGAAACAAGGGAAGGGCAGTCAACACACTGAGGGACATCTCCCCCGGACTCTCCGCCTTGAATGCATGCACCACACCACCTGACAGATGGCACGGCACGGCAGAGACGCACATTCCCATCAACCTGCGAGATGACATTCCCCAGACCCTCCACTCGGAGTGTTTTTTTTTTTGAATTCTAAGAAAACACATCGAGATGACATTCCCCAGACTCCCCCCACTCAGAGTGCATGGCATGCACCACCCGACAGATGGCAGGGCATAGTAGGGCAGGGAGGGGCAGAGAGGGGCAGAGAGGGGCAGGGAGCACACGCGGTGAGTCACAATCAAGTGGTCGTCAATTGACGATCCCATACGTTCCCCCGACCTTCCTATTGAACCAGGGAGAGCAGGGAGGAGAGTGGCACCTGAGCAAGTGGCACCAGACATTGTGAACAGGAATCCAGTGGCTGTCAATGCCAAGGCTGCTGACTTTTGAGTCGACTCAAAAGTAAACAGGGAGAGCAGGGAGGAGAGTGGCACCTGAGCAAGTGGCACCAGACATTGTGAACAGGCATCCAGTGGCTGTCAATGCCAAGGCTGCTGACTTTTGAGTCGACTCAAAAGTAAACAGGGAGAGCAGGGAGGAGAGTGGCACCTGAGCAAGTGGCACCAGACATTGTGAACAGGCATCCAGTGGCTGTCAATGCCAAGGCTGCTGACTTTTGAGTCGACTCAAAAGTAAACAGGGAGAGCAGGGAGGAGAGTGGCACCTGAGCAAGTGGCACCAGACATTGTGAACAGGCATCCAGTGGCTGTCAATGCCAAGGCTGCTGACTTTTGAGTCGACTCAAAAGTAAACAGGGAGAGCAGGGAGGAGAGTGGCACCTGAGCAAGTGGCACCAGACATTGTGAACAGGAATCCAGTGGCTGTCAATGCCAAGGCTGCTGACTTTAGAGTCGACTCAAAAGTAAACAGGGAGAGCAGGGAGGAGAGTGGCACCTGAGCAAGTGGCACCAGACATTGTGAACAGGCATCCAGTGGCTGTCAATGCCAAGGCTGCTGACTTTTGAGTCGACTCAAAAGTAAACAGGGAGAGCAGGGAGGAGAGTGGCACCTGAGCAAGTGGCACCAGACATTGTGAACAGGCATCCAGTGGCTGTCAATGCCAAGGCTGCTGACTTTTGAGTCGACTCAAAAGTAAACAGGGAGAGCAGGGAGGAGAGTGGCACCTGAGCAAGTGGCACCAGACATTGTGAACAGGCATCCAGTGGCTGTCAATGCCAAGGCTGCTGACTTTTGAGTCGACTCAAAAGTAAACAGGGAGAGCAGGGAGGAGAGTGGCACCGGAGCAAGTGGCACCAGACATTGTGAACAGGCATCCAGTGGCTGTCAATGCCAAGGCTGCTGACTTTTGAGTCGACTCAAAAGTAAACAGGGAGAGCAGGGAGGAGAGTGGCACCTGAGCAAGTGGCACCAGACATTGTGAACAGGCATCCAGTGGCTGTCAATGCCAAGGCTGCTGACTTTTGAGTCGACTCAAAAGTAAACAGGGAGAGCAGGGAGGAGAGTGGCACCTGAGCAAGTGGCACCAGACATTGTGAACAGGCATCCAGTGGCTGTCAATGCCAAGGCTGCTGACTTTTGAGTCAACTCAAAAGTAAACAGGGAGAGCAGGGAGGAGAGTGGCACCTGAGCAAGTGGCACCAGACATTGTGAACAGGCATCCAGTGGCTGTCAATGCCAAGGCTGCTGACTTTTGAGTCGACTCAAAAGTAAACAGGGAGAGCAGGGAGGAGAGTGGCACCTGAGCAAGTGGCACCAGACATTGTGAACAGGCATCCAGTGGCTGTCAATGCCAAGGCTGCTGACTTTTGAGTCGACTCAAAAGTAAACAGGGAGAGCAGGGAGGAGAGTGGCACCTGAGCAAGTGGCACCAGACATTGTGAACAGGAATCCAGTGGCTGTCAATGCCAAGGCTGCTGACTTTTGAGTCGACTCAAAAGTAAACAGGGAGAGCAGGGAGGAGAGTGGCACCTGAGCAAGTGGCACCAGACATTGTGAACAGGAATCCAGTGGCTGTCAATGCCAAGGCTGCTGACTTTTGAGTCGACTCTAAAGTAAACAGGGAGAGCAGGGAGGAGAGTGGCACCTGAGCAAGTGGCACCAGACATTGTGAACAGGCATCCAGTGGCTGTCAATGCCAAGGCTGCTGACTTTTGAGTCGACTCAAAAGTAAACAGGGAGAGCAGGGAGGAGAGTGGCACCTGAGCAAGTGGCACCAGACATTGTGAACAGGCATCCAGTGGCTGTCAATGCCAAGGCTGCTGACTTTTGAGTCGACTCAAAAGTAAACAGGGAGAGCAGGGAGGAGAGTGGCACCTGAGCAAGTGGCACCAGACATTGTGAACAGGCATCCAGTGGCTGTCAATGCCAAGGCTGCTGACTTTTGAGTCGACTCAAAAGTAAACAGGGAGAGCAGGGAGGAGAGTGGCACCTGAGCAAGTGGCACCAGACATTGTGAACAGGAATCCAGTGGCTGTCAATGCCAAGGCTGCTGACTTTTGAGTCGACTCAAAAGTAAACAGGGAGAGCAGGGAGGAGAGTGGCACCTGAGCAAGTGGCACCAGACATTGTGAACAGGCATCCAGTGGCTGTCAATGCCAAGGCTGCTGACTTTTGAGTCGACTCAAAAGTAAACAGGGAGAGCAGGGAGGAGAGTGGCACCTGAGCAAGTGGCACCAGACATTGTGAACAGGAATCCAGTGGCTGTCAATGCAAAGGCTTCTTTTCCCGCGACACTCCACCTGCCATGCATACACCACCTTCCCCAGTTGCACTTCCCTCGCACCCACTCCCCCCCAACCCACCTCCTCTTCCTAACCCACACACCCACCCTCCCCCACACCCACCTCCTCCTCCACGCCCATCTAGTCCCCACCTCAGCAAGGCAGTACCCAGCTCGGCCTCCACTCGACCCTCCCAAACCTTCCCCAGAAGCACCTCCCCCCAACCCACCTTCCCCCACCTTCCCCCCAACCCATCTTCCCTGCACCCACCTCCCCCCACCCACCTCAGCAAGAAAGTACCCCGCTCGGTTCGACCCGCCTCCTGCCGGCCCTCCGCCTCCCCGAACCTCCTCGTAGCTCGGCGGCGGAGGCTCGGCCGAGCCTGCAAACGGGTTAGTGCTGCCCACACCAGCAGGGGTGGCACCAGCACCACCACCAGCACTGCTGCTGTTCCCACTGTGGTCGTTCTTCTGCCTCTCCCCCACCATCTGTGCGTGCAGGTGGTTCAATATTTCCACTGATCGTTGGTGGAATGCCCTCTCCGCCTCCACCTGGTTGGGGGAGACAGGGGTAGCGGGGGGGGTTGGTTTGGAGTCCGCGGGTGCTGGGGATTCCCACCATCTGGGCGTGCAAGTGGTTTAGAATCTCCACTGACCGCTGGTGGTTCAGGTGGCACCTCACGGCCGAACCATCACGCACAGTGCCTCTCTCCTCCCCCACCATCTGTGCGTGCAGGTGGTTCAGAATCTCAACTGACCGCTGGTGGAAAGCTCTCTCTGCCTCCACCTGGTTTGGGGAGAGAAGGGGTAGCAGGGGGAGGTGGTTTGGAGTCCGCGAGTGCTGGGGATTCCCACCATCTGTGCGTGCAAGTGGTTTAGAATCTCCACTGACCGCTGGTGGAAAGCCCGCTCCGCCTCCACCTGATCAGAGTAAGGGGCAGGGGGGAGGGAGGGGATGGGCAAGGGGAGGGAAGTGAGAAGGATAGCTCGTTGGTGGAATGCCCTCTCCGCCTCCACCTGATCAGAGTAAGGGGCAGGGGGGAGGGAGGGAATGGGCAAGGGGAGGGAAGTGAGAAGGATAGCTCGTTGGTGGAAGGCCCGCTCTGCTTCCACCTGGTTGGGGAGAGGAAGGGGAAAGGGCGGGGAGGTGGTTGCGGTGAGAAGGGTGGTTTTCTCGTAAAAGGTGCTCTCATCTCATGCACACGGTTTAAGCCCTCCACTGGTGAGGTGAAACCAATGCGGGAGCAGTGGAACATAGAAAGCCATCATTACCGTTGCCACCTCCCTCTTGCAAAAGGTGCTCTCATGCACAAGGTGCTCTCTTGCACAAGGTGCTCTCATGCACAAGGTGCTCTCTTGCACAAGGTGCTCTCATGCACAAGGTGCTCTCTTGCACAAGGTGCTCTCATGCACAAGGTGCTCTCATGCACAAGGTGCTCTCATGCACAAGGTGCTCTCATGCACAAGGTGCTCTCATGCACAAGGTGCTCTCATGCACAAGGTGCTCTCATGCACAAGGTGCTCTCATGCACAAGGTGCTCTCATGCACAAGGTGCTCTCATGCACAAGGTGCTCTCATGCACAAGGTGCTCTCATGCACAAGGTGCTCTCATGCAAAAGGTGCTCTCATGCACAAGGTGCTCTCTTGCACAAGGTGCTCTCATGCACAAGGTGCTCTCATGCACAAGGTGCTCTCATGCACAAGGTGCTCTCATGCACAAGGTGCTCTCATGCACAAGGTGCTCTCATGCACAAGGTGCTCTCATGCACAAGGTGCTCTCATGCACAAGGTGCTCTCATGCACAAGGTGCTCTCATGCACAAGGTGCTCTCATGCACAAGGTGCTCTCATGCACAAGGTGCTCTCATGCACAAGGTGCTCTCATGCACAAGGTGCTCTCATGCACAAGGTGCTCTCATGCACAAGGTGCTCTCATGCACAAGGTGCTCTCATGCACAAGGTGCTCTCATGCACAAGGTGCTCTCATGCACAAGGTGCTCTCATGCACAAGGTGCTCTCATGCACAAGGTGCTCTCATGCACAAGGTGCTCTCATGCACAAGGTGCTCTCATGCACAAGGTGCTCTCATGCACAAGGTGCTCTCATGCAAAAGGTGCTCTCATGCACAAGGTGCTCTCATGCACAAGGTGCTCTCATGCAAAAGGTGCCCTCATGCACACGGTTTAAGACCCCCACTGGTGAAACCAGGGCGGCACCAGTGGAGCATAGGAAGCGTGCAAACGAATCTCCATGCCACTGAGTCGCTGCACTCTCTGCCTCTGCTGCTGTGCCTCCACTGCCAAGTGAAACCCACTCACCATGCCACTGAGTCGCTGCACTCTCTGCCTCTGCTGCTGTGCCTCCACTGCCAAGTGAAACCCACTCACCATGCCACTGAGTCGCTGCACTCTCTGCCTCTGCTGCTGTGCCTCCACTGCCAAGTGAAACCCACTCACCATGCCACTGAGTCGCTGCACTCTCTGCCTCTGCTGCTGTGCCTCCACTGCCAAGTGAAACCCACTCACCATGCCACTGAGTCGCTGCACTCTCTGCCTCTGCTGCTGTGCCTCCACTGCCAAGTGAAACCCACTCACCATGCCACTGAGTCGCTGCACTCTCTGCCTCTGCTGCTGTGCCTCCACTGCCAAGTGAAACCCACTCACCATGCCACTGAGTCGCTGCACTCTCTCCCTCTGCTGCTGTGCCTCCACTGCCAAGTGAAACCCACTCACCATGCCACTGAGTCGCTGCACTCTCTGCCTCTGCTGCTGTGCCTCCACTGCCAAGTGAAACCCACTCACCATGCCACTGAGTCGCTGCACTCTCTGCCTCTGCTGCTGTGCCTCCACTGCCAAGTGAAACCCACTCACCATGCCACTGAGTCGCTGCACTCTCTGCCTCTGCTGCTGTGCCTCCACTGCCAAGTGAAACCCACTCACCATGCCACTGAGTCGCTGCACTCTCTGCCTCTGCTGCTGTGCCTCCACTGCCATCATTACCGTTGCTGCCTCCCTCCCCAGCACTACCATGGTCGCTGCTAGCTCGCTGCAGCATCTGCCTAGCAACCACTCACTCACAGTGCAGCAACAGCAGCGCAGCACCGGTGTCACTAAGCGCAACACGGTGTGCAGCACCCTCTCTCTCACCATGCCAATCAGCCGCTGCAGTGTCTGCCTCTGCTGCTGTGCCTCCACGGCCATCATTGCCGTCGCCTGTCTCCCCAGCACTGTCATGGTTGCTGCTAGCTCGCTGCAGCGTCTGCCTAGCACATACCCACGCACTGTGCAGCACTCACCATGCCAATCAGTCGCTGCAGCGTCTGCCGCTGCTGCTGTGCCTCCACGGCCATCATTGCCGTCGCGGCTTCCCTCCCCAGCACCGTCATGGTCGCTGCAAGTTCCCCCAACTTCTGCTCTGCTTGCTGTTCACCAGGCAGGGAGATGCGGTAAGGAAAGGAAAGCATGCACTGAGCAACACTGCCATCATCGCCGTCGCGGCCTCTCTCCCCAGCACCGTCATGGTGGCTGCCAGTTCACCCATATTCTGCTCTGCTTGCTGTTGCAGGGCGAAGGGGAAGGGAGGTTGGGGAGAATGAGAGTATCAGCACTCACTGCCTGCCTCTGCTTCCCTCCCCAGCGCTGTCATGGTGGCTGCAAGCTCGCCCATCTTCTGCTCCGCTTGCTGTTGATTCAACAAGGGGGAACATGGGAGCACAGAGAGTCATCAGACTGCCTCCACGGCCACACTTGCTTCCCGCCCTCCCCAGCACCGTCATGGTGGCTGCCAGCTCGCCCATGTTCTGCTCTGCTTGCTGTTGCAGGGCAAAGGGGAAGGGTGGTTGAGGAATGGTGAAGAGAATGGGAGTATCAGCACTCACTGCCTGCCTCGGCTTCCCTCCCCAGCACCGTCATGGTGGCTGCGAGCTCGCCCATCTTCTACTCCGCTTGGTGGTGATTGAACAAGGGGGGAAGCGGGAGCACAGAAAGCAATATGACAAGCAGTGCAGGTCGCTCGGAGCCTTAGGGCGTGGAACATTTCGGCTTTTTTTTCCGTACGAACGTACGGTTCGGAAAATTACCGCTTTGAAACGTATTGAAACCTATTTGAACAAACCGCTTGATAAATGCACCACTTTCCACCGTTCAGACGGTACGGTTCGTTTGGAAATAAATCGAAATGTTCCACGCCCTTATATGTTCCCATCATACGTGATCATCTCCCCTCACCACGCACCTCCCATCCCCCCTCACCAGCAGACTTTTGAGTCGACTCAAAAGTCAACTCGATATGACAAACAGTGCAGGTTGCTCGGAGCCTTATATGTTCCCATCATACGTGATCACCTCCCCTCCCCTCACCACGCACCTCCCATCCCCCCTCACCACGCACCTCCCATCTCCCCTCACCACGCAGGTAAGGAGGGTACAGATGGTGGTAACCCTGTTACGCCTACATAGTATGCCATACAGTGCCCGCCCACGCACTGTGCCTATGCTCACATGGCGCGGGACGGCCTGAGCTCACATGCCTCAGGCACAGTGCGTGCTCACATGGCGCGCCATGTGAGCTTAGGGTTGCTCATAGGCCGACCCGCGCCATACATGGCGCGGGACCGCACTGTGCCAATGCTCACATGGCGCGGGACGGCCTGAGCTCACATGTGACATGCCTCAGGCACAGTGCGTGCACGGGCATTGTATGGCATGCTCTGCTCTGCGGCCATGATAGGGTTACCACCATGCACCCCTTGCCTGCCGCTTGGCGGCATTCTCAGGGTTGCTCAGCCCGTCCCTTGCCCCCTCGCAGATAGAAGCCTCATATTTCTACCATTCCATCCGCCCCACCCTCACCTGCAGCTTCGCAGCATTCTCAGGGTTGCCTAGGCCGTCCCTTGCCCTCTTTGCAGATATACGCATCACATTGCTACCACTCTATCCGCCCCCCCCTCACCTGCAGCTTGGCGGCATTCTCAGGGTTGCCTAGGCCGTCCCTTGCCCGTCCCTTGCAGATGATAACATGTTGTTGCCCTCCCAATTTTTGAGTCGACTCAAAACGTTGCTCAGCCCGTCCCTTGCCCGTCCCTTGCCCCCTTGCAGGTGATAACATGTTGTTGCGCTCCCAATTTTTGAGTCGTCTCACAAAAAGGCCGTACCTAGCCCCCTTGCACATCATAGCATCATACTTCTCCCATCCCATCCATTCCCCCCTCACCTGCAGCTTCGCAGCATTCTCAGGGTTGCCTAGGCCGTCCCTAGCCCCCTTGCACATCATAGCATCATACTTCTCCCATCCCATCCATCCCCCTTCTCACCTGCAGCTTAGCGGCGTTCTCAGGGTTGCTCAGGCCGTCCCGTGCCTTGTGAACCCCCACGTGCATATGGTTGCCACAGCCCTATTACAATAACAGGGTTACCACCACCATCCCCCCCTCACCTGCAGCTTGGCGGCGTTCTCAGGGTTGCTCAGGCCGTCCCGTGCAACTGCATAGGGTTACCATAGCCCCATTAATAGGGTTACCACTACCATCCCCCCCTCACCAGCAGCTTGGCGGCATCCTTAGGGTTGCTCCGGCCGTCCCGTGCCTTGTGAGCAGAGGCACAGGGCGTGCGTGGCCATTGTATGGCATGCTATGCTGGCGTAACAGGGTTACCACCACCATTCCCCCCTCACCTGCAGCTTGGCAGCGTTCTCAGGGTTGCTCAGGCCGTCCCGTGCCTTCTGGTTGCGCTTCTGGATTTCCACCACCTGGTGTACGGGGGAGGGGAAGCGAGAGGAGAGTGAGGGGATGAGAAAGTGGGAGGAGGTATGAGTGTAAAACACACTGATGCCGTCCCGTGCCTTCTGGTTGCGCTTCTGGATCTCCACCACCTGGTGTGGTGGGGAGGATGAGAGGTGGGGGGGAGGGGGGAGAGAGGGGGAATGGCGGGGCGAGAGGAGAGTGGGGAACCGAATGTAGCAAGGCCGTCCCGTGCCGTCTGGTTGCGCTTCTGCATCTCCACCACCTGGTGGGGGGGGAGGAGAGTGATGAGCGGAGGAACAGAGTGCGAGTGGAGTGCAGATCCAGACCAATAAGGCCGTCCCGTGCCGTCTGGTTTCGCTTCTGAATCTTCATCACCTGGTGGGAGAGAGAGGTGGGAGGAGAGTGAGGGGACGAGAAAGTGGGAGGAGGTATGAGTGTAAAACACACTGACGCCGTCCCGTGCCTTCTGGTTGCGCTTCTGCAGCTCCACCACCTGGTAAGGGGAGAGGAGAGGGGAGTGAGGGGAGTGAGGGGACACGCCTGGAACGAGCAGAGCAAACACGTATGCGAGGAGTGGACAGGAGAGCTTATCAAAACAGAAGAAAGTCATCCCGCCCACCTACCCACCTGCCCACGCACTCCATGGGCTGCCAGCTTCCTAATTATTTCTCACGGACTCCATGCCCATGCCCCTCACCCACTCACCAGCCCCTCCGCATCCTGCCTCAGCTTGTCATATCGGTGGGTGAGGCTGCGCGCATCCTCCAGAGGTGACTGTTGTGACTCACCTTGTCACCCACCCAACAGCCCTCATGCGCTCTCAACCATCCCACTCACCAGCCCCTCCGCCTCCTCCTGCCTCAGCTTGTCGTATCAGTGGGTCAGGCTGCGAGCATGCCTGCTGCAGGCACCCACAGCCCCGCTAACCACCCCTCAACCTACCACTCACCAGCCCCTCCGCTTCCTGCCGCAGCTTGTCGAAACGATGGGTGAGGCTGCGAGCATCCTCCAGTCCACACGCACACTTACCTTTTAGTCCAAGTGACACTCATCACCAGCCTGTTCTGTCTGTCTGCGAGCATCCCACTCTGCCTGTTCTGCCTGTCTGCCCACCTGCCCCTCTGACCACCCGACTTGAACCCTCCAGCCCCTCTGGAAACCCAACAGCACTACTCACCAGCCCCTCGGCTTCCTGCCGCAGCTTGTCATATCGGTGGGTGAGACTGCGCGCATGCCACTCTCCAGAGGCGGCTTTCCGGTTGCACAGTTACCCACCCCCATGAGCCCCCTTAAACGCCCAACCCCCACTCACCAGCCCCTCCGCCTCCTCCTGCCGCAGCTTGTCGAAACGATGGGTCAGGCTGCGAGCATCCCCCTCTACCTGTTCTGCCTGTCTGCCCATCTGCCCTTCTCCCCATCTGCCCACCGAGTGACCCTCATTCGCCCACTCACCAGCCCCTCGGCCTCCTGCCGCAGCTTGTCGTATCGGTGGGTGAGGCTGCGAGCATCCTCCAGAGGCGCGCCCGTGACCATGGCTTTAAGGGGGTCGCCCACCTGCCATCCATCCATCCATCGATACAAGCACGATGGGTATAAGCACAGGGGTTACAGGAAGAATAATACAGCTCAACTCAGCCCAGCCGAGCATCCTCCAGAGGCGCGCCCGAGACAGACAGGGGCTTGAGAGGGGCGGCCAGCTGTGCATGTGGAACAGTACATTACATGCAGGCATACATAGGCATAGTGAGCTTCAACTCAGCCCAGCCGAGCATCCTCCAGAGGCGCGCCCGAGACAGGGGCTTGAGAGGGGCGGCCACCTGAGACCAATCAATCAAAGGAGGGACAGTGGATGCAGGCGCAATGCAAGTCCACGCACAGCAATTTCTCAATCTAGTCATCCTCACTACAGACAGTTGCACATGTGTTCCAAGCGAGGTGCCTTTTGAGTCGACTCAGAAGTCACCAAGTCCCAGCACAGCTGTTTCTCGTTATAGTCATCCTCACTACAGTCGCACCTGTGTTCCAAGCGTCCTGTCCATATTGTCTCTCTCTTGTTCAATTGCCGAGTGCGCCGCCCCAAATACAGTGCCGCCCAGCACAGTGGTTTCTCACTATAGTCATGCACATTAGGATCACACCTGTGTTCCAAGAGTCCTGTCCATATTGTCTCTCTCTTTCTCGATTGCCGAGTGTGCCGCCCCAAAATGCAGCGCCGCCCGGCCCAGCACTGTGCTGCCGCCCGGGCTCTCCGGTGCGCCGTACTTGCGGCATTCTTCTGACAGCTTGGCGACTGAAAAGGGGAGGGGGGAAATTGTAAGCAGAAACGGGTTAATATAATAGAAGGTATGGACAAGTCAATACTTTGTGCCGTACTTGCGGCAGTCTTCTGACAGCTTGGCGACTGAAGGGGAAAGGGGGGGGAGAGGAGTTGTAGCAGAAACGGGTTGATGAATAACGGGTATGTATGAGTCTATGCTTTGCAGCATTCCTCTGACAGTGTTTCGCAACTGAAGGGGGGGGTAATCAGAACGGGTGGAAGAGTAACGGGTATGGATGAGATGAGACTATATTGACCATCACTGTGCGCCGTACTTGCGGCATTCCTCTGATAGCCTGGCAACTGAAGGGGGGAAGTGTAATCAGAACGGCTGGAGGAGTAACGGGTATGGATGAGATGAGACTATATTGACAAGCACTGTGCTGCCGCCAGGACTCTCAGGACTCTGAAGGGGGGGGGGATAACAGGAACGGGTGGAAGAGTAACGGGTATGGATGGGATGAGACTAAATTGACAAGCACTGTGCTGCCGCTGGGACTCTCCGGTCCGCCGTACTTGCGGCACTCTTCTGATAGCTTCGCAACTGCAGAGAGAGTTGTAGCAGAAAGGGGTGGGACAATAACGGGTATGAATGAGTCAATACTTGCAAGATACTTGTGGCACGCTCTTTGACAGCTGACTTTTGAGTCGACTCAAAAGTCACCTCGTATGAGTGGGTCAATACTTGCAAGATACTTGTTGCATGCTCTTTGACAGCTCAGCAACTCTAAAAGGAAGGTCAAACAGTAACGGGCATGAATGAAACAGTTCAGACAATAAAAAAAACATGACATGCCCTATACCCATACCCATGCCCATAACCATGCCCATAACCATGCCCATAACCATGCCCACACCGATGCCCATAACCATGCCCATAACCATGCCCATGCCCACCAGAAGTGTGTCAGAGTCTTACTGGATTCGATGTGCTTCAGATTCGCATTGATAATGCCCTCTATGCCCTTCACCATCTCGCGTTGGAAATGCTGTGGTGGGCGGGCGATACACGTGACAAGGCCAGAAAAAGGAGGGGGGAAGGACAGTTGCCTTCAGACTTGCATTGATGGTGCCTTTGATGCCCTTCACCATCTCGCGCTAACAAGTGCCCTGCAGTGGGCAGGTGATATAAGGGACAAGGCCAGGTAACATACAGGTGGAAGGCAAGGGAAAAGGGGGGGGCAGAAGTGGGGCCTTCAGATTTGCATTGATAATGCCCTCTATGCCCTTCACCATCTCCCGTTGGAAATGCTGTGGTGGGCGGGACACACAGATGAGACAAAGGGGAGGTGGAAGGGAGGCGGAGAGGGGGTTAACGGGAATACGAGGGGAGGCGAAGAGGAGGGGGAGAAACGGGAACCAAGGGGGGTGATCACGTGGGAGGTGGCAGAAGGGGGAAAAGCTAGTGATGCCCTCCAATGCCCTCACCATCTCGCGTTGAAAGTGCTGTGGTGGGCGGGAAACGAATGGGGAACAAGTAGGGAACAAGTGGGGCGGAGTGGGGAGGGTAGGCACGAGGCCTTCAGGTTCGCGTTGATGATAACCTCAATCCCTTTCACCATCTCGCGTTGAAAGTGCTGTGGTGGGCGGGAGACAGAGAGGAGGCGGAGGGGAGGGGGCACACAGGCGTCAGGGAGAGGGAGAGAGCGTGGGGAGGCAAGAAACAGGGGGGACCCATGGGGGAGGTTGCAGAAGGGAAAAAGGTTACCCAGCTCTGAAAATGCCCTCGACGCCTTTACTTTGATTCTCTCCCCAACACCAATTCCCACCTAGGCGGAGTTGGTGGTGTTAAACAACCGTCCCAGTTGCTAGTGCATCTACTGTCGCTTCAGCTCCGCCTCGTCTACCACAACGCCATACCTGCCTTTACTACAGCGCGCACCACTGCTGCTCCCCTGCTCCGACCGTTCTCCCTCCTCCTTATTCCCCTACCCAGTCCGTACCTTAGCCGATTTAGTCGTGTTGTAGAGCCGCTCCAGCAGCTGGTGCCGCTGCAGCTCCGCCTCGTCCATCTGAACTGCTCTATCCCACTCGCCTACACCGTCCCACTCCTCTGCACCCATCCGTACCTTAGCCGATTTAGTCGTGTTGTACAGCCGCTCCAGCTGCTGCTGCCGCTGCAGCTCATGAGTCAACTCAAATGTCCCTTTCCCTCCTCATACGTACAAGATGTCCCTTTCCCCATCCGTACCTTGGCGGACTTGGTGGTGTTGTACAGCCGCTCCAGCTGCTGCTGCCGCCGCAGCTCCGCCTCGTCCATCTGAACTGCTCTATCCCACTCGCCTACACCGTCCCACTCCTCTGCACCCATCCGTACCTTAGCCGATTTAGTCGTGTTGTAGAGCCGCTCCAGCTGTTGGTGCCGCTGCAGCTCCGCCTCGTCCACCACCACGCCATCGCTGCGCGCCGAGCCGCCCACGATCTTGTTGAATATGGTCTGGCGTGGGAGACGGGAAGGGATGGGGGGAGAGGGGGTGGAAAGAGGGGTGGAGGGAGAGCGCGGAAGCAGGGAGGCCAGGGGGGAACCGGGAGGGGGGGATTGGATACAAGCAGGTAGCTGCAGCTCCGCCTCGTCCACCACAACTCCATCGCTGCGCGCCGATCCGCCCACAAACTTGTTGAATATGGTCTGGCGGAGGTTGCGGGAAGGTGGGGGTGGGGGCGGGTGGATGGGGGAGGACGGGATGGGGAAAGGGAACTTGTTGAATACACGCAGACGGAAGAGGAAAAGCGAGGGGGCGACAGGAGACATGAAGAGAAGATGAGGCGAAGGAGAAGGGACAGTGAGGAGGGGAGGGAGGGAGCGCGGAGACAGGTGTGCTTCGAATGACGAACTGCAAGCTTTAGCTTGAGCTGCTTAATCCATGAACGCTCTATCTATGCATCAAGCATTGACTTTGGCAGCCATTGATTCCTAACGAAACACCTTACCTTCGGGTGCAGGGAGAACTCCAAGGGTGCGAACACAAACGGATTGAAGCATGATTGAACTCCAACAACAAATCCCCGACGGTTAAGCCTCACTATCCATCCTGGAGGTGAGTTCACGCCGGCTGCGATGCGCTGTCACGGACGATCCGCATTCAACGGAATCATCTGCGCATTCGCAGACGTTCGAGTCGACTCGTAAGTCACCTCCAGAGCGAAACGCGACAACGACAGACTGACTGACTGATCGCACCTGAATCTTCTGCGCATTCGACCCACATCGTTCCAAGGTGCCTACACAACAACGAACAGTCTCCTTGATCGCACCTAAATCTTCTGCGCATTCGACCCACATCGTTCCAAGGTGCCTACACAACAACGAACAGTCTCCTTGATCGCACCTGAATCTTCTGCGCATTCGTACGACCGCTCCCCACATCGTTCCGAGCATGTTTTTGAGGTGCCTAAAAAACAGCGAACAGTCTGACTGATCGCACCTGAATCTTCTGCGCATTCGTACGGCCTGCCGCTCCCCACATCGTTCCGATCTCGATCAGCCGTGTCCGAAGAAGTCGACTCCTCTATTCAGCACGTTTTTCCGCTAGTACTTCCTTTCAGCGAGACTTGTCTTCCAGGCTAGCTTTCGACCGAAAAGGAATCGTGTACCGAGATGTGATATCCCTTGATCACACGGGAAAATTAATCTTGTCAAAGGTGGATCGTGTCCCGAGATGGGAAGACCTTCAGATCGCACTGCTAGTGCGACGTGCTCAGCTGCTACTTCCGCGAAGGAAACTGCTCAGTGTTTAAGGCTGACGCGAGAGGCCACCGAATGCCAAGAATGATCCGATAAAAACAACGAGTGGCCACCACAACCACGGATGGAGGGGTAGGCGGGTGAGAAGATTAGGTCGATTACGCGAAACTAGAATTACACGAAATGCTCAAGCAGAGCCTGAGCTGAGGGGGAAAACGCGAATGTGTGGCGAATTTTGTCGCTTTCAGATATCAACTGAGTAACCCTTTTTCCTTCTAATCCTGATCTGACGGGAAATAAGCACGACGCCCGAAGGAGTGCGCTTGACGTAACAGTCTTAACGGCGAGAGCCAACGAGGCGGCTGTCTCGAACTAACGCGCAGAGGCCTAGGATCGAAGTTAATAACCTGGAATGATAACGACTAGTGGCGATTAGAGAACATAAGCCGCATTGGACTCCCGCTGCTTCTGACAGACACCTCTGGTCAGTGGAAGGTTGAATCCCAGAGCCGTCAAGCGCGTTCGTTGTCAATTTATGTGCATTTACCACGGTTCTTGGTGTGCTGATTTTGCAAGCGGTAATGTGGTACAATTCAGCCAAGGCGAACAGCTAACCAACCTATCCGCGGGACGAGAAGCGGAGAAGTGGAGAAAAGCGGAAAAGGAGGAGGCCGAGGTCAAGGAATGCGCAGAGTCGCAGACTCGACTCCGACAGTCGCAGGGACTTCGTAAGCCGTCGGTACAGTCGGTCAGACAGAAGATGGGGGAAGAAAATGGCATGCGCGCGGGAAGTGTGCGAATTGAGAAGGGCCGAACGGCAGACAGCTAGCAGCCACGAGGTCCCTGCATTTGAACCCCACCCAGACCCACGGCATTCTCGAGGCTTTCTTGGCGGGTGATTTTGAGCGAAAAATCGACTTTGCCAATCACATGTGCTGCAGAAAATCGTTGTTCCGCCAAGTGATACTTTCGCGCACTTGGCTGATGTCACCTTCCAGTCGGAATTTCAATTTGACGAGGTCTGTTCCCCTGTCCCCTCTGACCAGAATATTGGCGGGAAACTGAGTCAGGGAAACGGTCAGCAAGTGGGTTGGAGGTTGACCAAGCACAAATGACGCTCCTTGAAGTTCAGATACTGTAACAATTATAGTTATTGAGCAGAATAAGAATGTTAGTCTACTGTGAGATGATCAAATTGAGCACATGGAGGCTGATTATACCGGCAACGGACGTATACCACTGGCACATCTACAGGGGAAAAAGCAGCATACACACATACTAAGAAAACAAGAGAGCTAGGCTTGCACTAATTTATTCAGAACCCTTCTTCAGCTTCTTAGCAATCTTAGCAGTGTACTGGCCTTGATAAAACGCTTGCTCCAGCTCAATCTGTGTGGGCTGGCGAGTACCATCCCCGGCCAGAGTGCCTGCTCCATAGGGCGATCCACCCTTCACCTCATCCAGAACAAACATGTTGGCGCCATAGGTATAGCCAATGGGAACGAAGAGCATACCGTGATGCGTCAGCTGAGTCACGGCAGTCAGCCTGTGAGGGAATGAAGGGACATAATAGGAGGGAATGATTCAATTGTCTTGTGTTTGCAGCGGGAACCATGTCATGGGCCAGAGAGAGAGAGAAGTTGCATGAGATGCACTGCGTGTAAATAGTCTTACATTGCCACACAAACATTCATCCTCCGTTGCGGAAGGAGTGAGAAGGAGAGGATGGAGGGAAGGGGGGTGGGATGGGGGTAGATTGTCACAGCCAGTACGGCACCTGGAGGCTTTGTGCCGGTGCTTCCCATTGCGTCTATTCACCAAAGAATCACAAGACTGCATATCATTCAGGTGCATGTATAATCGCAAGTTCGGACTCACGCAGTGGTTTCCTGGCCGCCTCCTTGCGAGCCCGTGCTGAAGAAGAAACCGGCAGGCTTGCCGGCCAGCGCTTGCGTTCTCCACAAGCTGCCGGTTGCATCGAAAAAGGCCTTCATTTGAGCACACATCATGCCGTAGCGGGTGGGGAAGCCGAAGAGGAAGCAGTCCGCTTCCGGGAGGTTGTGCACGTCGATAGAAGGAATGTCCGGCTTCGGCGGGGCGTGCATCTTTGCGAGAACATCCTCGGATAGAGTCTCGGGAACCTGAAGATAGAGCACATTGGAACGTCAGGTGAAGAAATCATGTGTGTGTTTGAGAGTTCGCAGAAACACATTGCAAGATGGGATTGCGATTCATTGTCAGCAAAAACAGCCTATGTATCCGAATGGTTTCCTGTCGCTGAAATTGTGAAAGTATGCCACATCGACCACCGTTCCTCCGTCACAAGATGGAAGGAAGAACGAGTTCGGACGCTGCTACGGAGAGTCAGATGCAGAAGCGTTCAACGAAAAGGCCGACCAAAGAACAAACCACGCGAAGAAACCATGGTACAAGCTTCTATTCTGCTACCCCTTGATGATTTCACCCGCAAGTTAAGACACCCGTCTTTGTTCTGCTTCCGTTAGTTGAACTAAGTATTTGCACTTCTTGAGACCTGTGACAAGATGGAATGCAATTAAAATCGCAAGCTGACCTGAAAAATGGAGACTTCGACCCCTTCCACGGATTCTGCACCCTTCTTGATCTCCTCGGCTAGTGCAGCCACGTGGCCGTACATGGAATAGAAACTGCAGGGAAGAAGAGGCAGAGTTTTTATGTCTTAGCTCCGGTGAATCTTGAATTGATAGAGCGAGTGGAGGTGCAAGGGAAACGGGTGCTACATCCTGGAAGTCTAGGAATTGTAGATGGTGCCAGAGTAATTGCGGTGACGATGGCGATGGATGACGTGGAACTGAAACGCCATTCAACACTTACATTACGAAAACTTTCGTCGCCATGGCGGAAACTGAAAGCGGTGCGTATATCCTATTGAAGGCCAGTGAATTGGCGCAAGTAAAGACTACCTTCCTCGCTCTGCTTGCTGAACTATGAAATGTTAACTTGAAAGAAGTGTCCCAACTAAACCCAGGAATCAAAGTGGACGTGATGGAAAATTATCAAGAAGGACTAACGCTTTGGATGGCTTTTACAACCAGGAGCTATGGATTGTGTATTTATCCGCTCAATTTGAAACGCTTCCAGAGTCAATGGCTTCACAATGCAGCCATTTCATTCCTGCAGCCCAATTTGCGCGTGCGTCTTCTGCCTCTGCTTTGCTGCAGTCAGCAGCAGCAAGCTGTGGTCTGGGTCTGGTATGCGGAGGTACATCGCAACTTTTGCGCCACTGGACTGTGTCGTGTACTGACTCACTGCGGGCAGCATACTGAAATCTGTTTGACTGTTGGAGCCTTTGTTATGGGCCGTTCGATATCTGAGAACTGCGTTTAGAGATTCACGCGGGCAGAGAAACGTTGTTTGGGGTAAGCCAAAGCAGGGCTTCGGAGGAGTTCCTCGTGCAGCGATAATAGTTTCCCGCCAACATTCAATCCCAACACCACCAGAAAACGACTTCGTGAGGAAACTCGTTATTGCACAAGGCGTCGCGAGTTTTTCGGATTCCTCGCTTCAAGGTTAATAAACGATTTCACAAATTGTGTTCATACAGAGAACATGTTTCAAGTTTATCAACCTTCAGTGGATCCCAAGACCTTAAGTTCCCAAGGTTTACAAGCTAGTGTGCATCAATGGACTTCCCAATGAAATGCCTCACGGGAGCACCGAGGCTCAAGGCAGCTGCTGGTTGACAAAGGCGACACTATCAAGGTTTTTTCAAAGGAGTGTCTACCAACATATAAGAAGAGGCTGAAGAGAACGCCAACTATTACCAAGCTGCCTGATCATTATCAAAAGCTGCTACTGCTATACATCATGCCGCCGAAAGGACGGAATCAGAAGGCCAGTGCCAAGGCTGCTGCTCGTGCTCGGACCTTCAGTGCTCCTGTTTCGCCGCTGAAAGTGGATAGTGATGGCGCTGATGTGCTACTATCGCCTTCCGTCCACACGGATCGTCCAGAATCATCGTCAATGGCTGCTGAGAGGTTATCTGCATTGAAAGGCAAGGGATCAAATGGAAGCTCGGTCAGCAAGAAAGGGGTGTTCCAAGAGCCTGTGCTACCGGAACCGATGTCACCTCCCGCTGAGCCGGAAGTGGTTTTCCCTGATGACGAAGAGGATGAGGGTGCTGATGGTTCAGGTTACCTTAGTGACGACTCCGACGAGGGTGCTGATCCGGTTATGGCTGGCCTTGTTGCTGCTCATATTTGTTATACGCTGACGCTCTTAATCCCAGATAAGCATCTTGATGAAGTTCCGCGTACGGCGGACTCAGTCAACGCTCACCTGTTTCACTGGAAGAAGGAGCTCTCGGCTGACGTGCTGTCAACAACAAAGTTCCAGAAGCTCCTGCCTACTTACCTGTCAAAGGAGCGGTTTGGTCGTATTCATGTTACCTTTCTCCAAGAGAAGGATGCTGCTTTCGTTTGGAAACGCGCTGTTGCTCATGACTGTATTGACGGCACTCCTCTGAAGTTGAGCTGGCAGTTTCCTGAGAACGCAGATTTCATCCGTGCACGTTCTCTCCACCCGAAGGCTTTTGAAGTGTTGTTGAAGGGTGTTCCTGCGGAGCTGACTCCGGAGCGGATCCGGAAGTTCCTGGTGATGGTGTGGTTGGTTAAGAGGGGGAAGTCGCCGTTTAAGGAAGGTTATGGCTTTCATCGCGTGCAAGATGCGGTTACTGGGATGGATACGGACAAGATCAAGGGCCTCCTGGTGCAGCATGAGAATGACCCGTACCGCTGGCGTCACTTTATCATGGATCCTGCAATGAATGGGAAGAAGCTGCTACTGCACTTTCCTTCACTCAACTGCGACTACTGCAACGGTCATCACATGACTCGCTACCACGACGACTACGTCACTGACCGTCAGGCTAACATTGCGAAATGGAACCTCACGGTTAAACGTATCCATGAAGTTAACGGTACTCCTGAGCTATTATCCTGCAAGGAATGTCTCGCCTTTTTCTTTTTTCACGTTACTGACCCTACTCTCTCCTCATCTCCCCGCAGCGGCCTCACTGAAAGTCACGGACTCACTGAAAGCGATCTTGCTGGATCCGGCTCTTGTTCTCACCTCAACCGGCGGGTCCCGAGAGGATTGGATCTGCGTCCTCGATGCCTGTGGCAAGGCGCACGGCAACAATCTCGAACTTGCAGCGGCGCATGTAGCCTCTGTTCGCCACACCACCAATCTGACCACTGCGGGAGCGGCTACGCGCATCAGCAAGGGTGCGATCACTGTCGCAGCACTCAAGAAGGAATTCCTCAAATGATCTGTCGGGAGCAGGGAGAGACAGTAATGGAGGGGGAGCTTAAGCGAGAAGAGGTGTTTCAGAAGTATCAGGAAGTGTTAGGGTGTGAAGCTGTGGTTAGTGCCTCTGTAGCAACTGTTGTACTGTGCGGAGTCTTCCTTATAACATACTTTCTGGTTCGGTGGATGCGTGTGGATCTAGTGCTGGAACGCGGCTGCCTACCCGCGACGACTGTGGCTTACGACCCGTGGATGCGAAGGGGTCCCAATCAGTGGTTTAATGGATAAACACCAAGAACTCACTATTACCGCGCTCAACGTGAATGGTCTAGGGAGCGCGGTGAAGAGGGAGAACCTGCTTGACTGGCTTAAGAAGTCCAAGGGGGTGATTGTACTCATAGATACCAGGTTATCAGCTGATCACAACTTCTGGACCCAAGTGGAGGCGGAGTCAGTGGAGATTGTTGCCCCAGGGGAGGCTGCAGGAGGGGTAGCGGTACTGAATTTCAACAAGTAGTTCTTGGCGATGTCCAACGGCATGTGTCAGGAAGGCTGCTTGCTGTGGCGATGAACTGGAGGGAGCTGTCATGGACGTTGTTGGCGGCGTATTTTCCTGCACAAGCAACAACCAGAGGGAGTTTCTTTGGAGACAGCTTCTCTCCGTTTGTGGATGCACTAACTCAACCGGGGCATGTGCTTCTTACAGGCGATCTGAACATTGCGGCAGATCCCATCATGGATAAAACCTCACAACAAGGGCCGGATGCGGAGGAGAAGCGGTTGTTGCGTATGTGTGCAAAATGGGATTTGAAGGATGTCTTTCGGACGTTATACCCCTCGAGACTGGAGTTTACCTTCCTGGCGAAGGCAACGATGACAAGCTCACGTATTGACCGCGCGTTGGCATCGGCCTCCCTGCTCCCAGTAGTGGCTGACGCTTATCATACGGCGGCTCCGGTGGATGTCACAGATCACTGGTTCGGAGTCACCACGGTGCTGTCGGCGCAGACTGGTGAAGAGCATGGACCGGGACTGTGGAGGATGCATGCTTCTCGGTCGAGGCATCCAGGGGTACGGAGTATCATTCGGCGGGTGCTGAGGGGCCAGGGAGATCTGCACTCCACACTCGCTGGTCTGCAGGCCAGTCTCAAAGCTCATGCAAGGGAGGAAAGGAAGAGGATTGGAAAAACAATTTCACATCTGGAGGACAGAGTAGCGGCTTTGCGGCAAGAGTTCATGGCGGACTCCAGTCAGGGGGAGAAATTTGAGGAATTGGTCAAGTACGAGGCGCAGCTCAAGGGGTATCGCGACAGCCAGAGGAGGCGAAAGCATACAATGGCAGGAGTGGGAGAGGAGATGTATGGTGAAATTGCGACCAAGGTCTTGACACGGAGGATTGCGTCGCGTAAAGCGAAAACGGTGATAAAGGAGATTGTGTATGGCGGTAAGAAATACGAGGGGGAGCGGGAAGTCCTGGCAGCGGCGTCAGAGTTCTTCTCTAAACTCTTCGGGGAAAAGCAGCAGGATGTGGGGTTAGAGGAATGGCCGATGGACCCAGGGAAGGTCTTGGACACGGAAGCAAAGCAGAGACTCTCGGCGCCATGGTCGGAGGAGGAGGTCAGACAGGCGTTACGAGAGCTGCCAAGGGGGAAGGCACCGGGTGCAGACGGTCTCCCAAAAGAGCTGCTGGAAGACAACTGGGACTTGCTGGGGGAGTCAGTAATGGAGTTTATGAGGGACTTTGAGAAATTGGCGGAATTGCCGAGAAGTGCCTCGACCGCGGTGACAATCTTACTGCACAAGAAAGGAGAAAGAACAGATTTGGGGAATTACAGACCTATCACGCTGCTTAGTGCTACATACAAGACTGTGGCGAAACTGCTTGCGAATAGGATGAAGAAGGAGCTGCCGCAAGTCATCTCGGCAAACCAGTTCGGTTTTGTTCCAGGAAGGCGCCTGGCGGATGCTGTCAAGGTGGTAGCGGACACAATTGATGCAGCAGTGATTGGGAAAGAGGATTGGTACTTACTTCTGGTGGACTTCCAGAAAGCTTACGACTCGGTGTCAAGGCCCTTCCTATTCCGCACGCTGGAGAGAATGGGATTTTCGGAGGAGTTTATTGAGTGGACCAAGGGGCTGCATGACCAAGCGGCGACGCAGTTGCTGGTCAATGGATGGCTAGGTGACCGTGTGGAGGTGGAGTCGGGTGTACGACAGGGCTGCCCGCTCGCGCCGTACCTTTTCATCTGCGCAGCAGAGCCACTGAGTCAGGAAGCAGAAAGAAGGAAGCTGGGGTTAAGGAAGAGGGGAAAAGGAGGTTTGGCGTACCTCGGGTATGCTGATGACACGACTCTCCTGCTCCACGGGAAGGAGCAACTTAAGAAAGCGCAAGGATTGCTGGTGGACTTCAGTGCCAGGTCGGGACTATATGTCAACCAGGGGAAATCGACGGTGATGCCGCTGGGGAAAAACAGAGCTAATTCTCCACCTGCAGACACAAGTTACAGTTGGGCGGAGAGGGGAGTGCCAGAGAGGCTGTTGGGAATTTGGATTACAACAGACGGGAGAGCAGAACCTACATGGGAGAAGGCGCTGGTGAGAGTGAATGTCATTCTTGCCAACTGGGAGAAACTCCATCTCACAACAACGGCGCGTGTGACGGTTCTGAACGCTTATGTGATGCCGGTGGTACTCTTTCAGGCGCAAGTGTACCAACCGCCGAAGCTGATCTGGAAAAGGATACTGAAGCTGTGCCACAATTTTGTTTCGAAGGGGTGTGCGGATGAGGAGAAGCACTTCATTCTCTGGAGTGAGTTGCTGGCCCACCTGAGTAGGAAAGAAGGAGGATTGGGAGTTATCAGTCCGAAAGATCGCGTGAACAGTCAAGCACTGTGGAATTTGGGAGCGGCGCTTTTGGAAGACAATCCGATGAAACAGTGGTTACAAGAGCGGGCGGCGAACATGCCTTTGGGATGGGCAACGCTCCTGGCGCACAAAGCGATACTCGCGGAATGGACATGTGGTAGCGGGCGCTGGAGGTCGCTAACGCCGCTGGTATGGGACAAACAGCTACCGGAACTACCAGAACCGGAAAATCGCTGGGAGATGGCGAAGGAACACCTATGGTTCAGCAAGTGGATTCATTACCAAGGAAGCAGCCCTTTCGGCAGACAGAAAGGGTCGGAATGCTTGAGAGGGTTGAAGGTGGAGGACCTACTGCATGAGGGGCATGATGGGGAGTGGAGTGTCAAGGACCTGTGGTCGCTGACAAAGTTGACAGGGAGCTCAACCACGGCGCGGTGGGCGCTCATGGCTTGGAAGGCGGTGCCGGAGAGCTGGAAGGGAAAACTCCTTGAGAAGGTATCGGCGGAAGCTGTGACGGAGGCCTCTACTCTGGTCCAGGTGGGAGCTGAAGAGGCGGGAAGGCGGCACTATCTCCAGGTGGCGCTATCGGAAACTAAAGAACTTAAATGCGAGATGGTGACAGTGGACAAGAAGGGGAAAATCCATCAGTTGGGAGAAGTGGCTCATCCGTCGGTACGGCTAGGCACGCTCACCCCGATGGTAGTCAGGGATGGCCGTGTGATGGGGCGAGTGGGAGACCCGCTAACGCGTCTACGGGCCTCGTTCATGTGTGAGAAGGGGAAACCTACTGTGCAAAGGAGGCTGAGACATCTGCTCAGGAAGCCAGTCACACAGCCCAAGCAGCAGAAGAAGTGGGAGGAGGTGTGGGGCAGAAAGATTGATTGGGAGAAGGTGATCAAGAAGAGAGACTCGCTGGCGGTCCCTGCCAAGGCGAGGGAGGTTTTGCTGAGGTTGCACAGCAACAATCTGCAAGTGGGCAGCAGGGTGGCCTTTCTCGGACCAAGTGCATGCTGCCCGTACTGTGGTCAGGAAGAGTCGCCGTCACATTGCTTGATGAGCTGCCCAGTGGTCAGTGGGGTCTGTGGCGCGCTTCAGGATTCACTCCGGTTGATCAATCCGAAGAGGCCAGTGGGGACACTGGGAGAGCTGCTATTCGCGGAAGACAGCACGGCATCCGGTTTTCCAGAAGCCACGCTCATTGCGGTCACTTTCAGGCACATTTGGTTGGAGAGATGTGATGCGGTTTTTCGGAAAACGACTTTCGAACCGAAGCGAGTGGTCAGGAAGATTGGGGTCAGTTTCATGAGGCACGTTCGGATATACAGTGAAGGAAGGTGCAGGGTTGAAAATCGACATGATGCAAAGAACAAAGGGCGGTGGCAGCACCTGGCAGTTGGGGAGGTGGCGGCGCTGGAGAGGATAAGGGGTGATGAGGAGCTGCTGACGTGGAATGATGCCTTCAAATCTATCTGGGAGAGGCCGAGCACATTCTTCAAGCCACCATAGAGTGGCAGGGGGCGGGCCAGAGTAGGCTGCTGCGTGTCTGCCTGTGACTTCCCTTCTTTTTCAGTTACGACTGTGGATGTATGCATTGCATAGTGTATTATGTCCCAAAAAAAAAAAAAAAAAAAAAAAAAAAACAAGGCGTCGCGAGCACAGAAGACGGGACTGACTCAAAATTCACATGGTGTGGCTTGGCAGTCAATACAGCCCTGGTTGTGGCAAAACTCTTCAACCAACCTAGCAACAATTCTACTCTAATTTACAGTACCTTATGAGCAACCTTAGCACTCACACTTGTAATGCAACTGCTGTTACGTAATCCATTTATTATACGTATGGTCGGAGTACAAACTGGAAACCCTGGAAGTTGGTTGGAGATGGAAAGAGGATAGAGAGAAAAGGAGAGAGATAGAGGAAAGGGAAAGGAATAAGAAAAGGAAATGGATAAGCCCCACAAGCACAACCCAGAGGGAACCCCATCAAGACACCCCATCGAAGCACCCTAACTAAAAGCCCCCCCCCCCGAATCCCCCACCCCCCCCCCCCCCCTCTCAAGAGTAGAATGCAACGGAATGATGAGACTAGCAAGTGTAGAAATACAAATATGCAACCCTAACAACTGTACTCCCTATTGTGCTACTCACTGTAGCCTACAAGCATAGAATTACATTTGACACACCCCCATAGGCTAAGTGAGGGGCATCAAAGCAAGCAAGGTGAACAAACGGTCACAAGACCAGTCAAAGCAAGAAACAAGGCAAGCTCAGGGTGGATCTCAAGGACACCACACAAATTCCGAGCGCAAGCAAGCGGCCACAAGGCCAGTTCAAGAGTTCACTAGGATATAAATAGCAAGCACAACAAGCAGAGCAAACAACAAGACTACAGCAACCGAGGGCCTACCTCAACAAGCCCCAACTGCACACAGAACCTGTGGTGATCACCAAGCGCCAAGGCCTTGGTGAAGACGTCTGCAGTGTTGGCCTATGAGGCCACAAAGTCCAGGCGTGCCTGGCCGCGTCGCTGCAGCTCTCGCAGGAGGAAGTACCTCACGTCAATATGCTTCACTCTGCTCTCCAGTCGAGGCTCTCGACACAGGAGGATCATGGCCTTGTTGTCAGCGTACAAGGTCGGTGCAGAGCGAGGCCGCTCACCAAGGTCGGCGAGCAAGAAGGTCAACCAGCGAAGCTCCTGTGCCGCCATGGCACCAGCGTAGATCTCTGCCTCTGCACTGGAAGTAGCCACAGACGACGACCGTGTAGACCTCCACGACACAGCACCAGCTCCCAGACTGAAGCAGTAACCCTGAGTCGAACACTAAGTCTCCATGTCGTCAGCGTAGGAAGAGTCGCAGTGACCAGTCAACGCCACTGGCTGAGTCCCTCCAAGCACAAGCCCCATGCCTGATGTAGTCGCCAGGTACTTCGCCACCCTCACAGCAGCTGTCCAGTGGACAGGGCGGTGTCTCCCAGTCGCAACAAAGCGAGAAAGGATGCTGAGTGGAAAGGCGAGGTCCGGTCGAGTACAAGTCATCAGGTACATGAGGCAGCCCACCAGCTCTGCGTAGGGTCCACTGGACTCAAAGGGCTCGTCAGGAAAGGGGCCCGTGAGTCTGTGGTCAACAGCAAGAGGAGTGGGCTGTGTGGTGGAGAACTGGAAGTCGAACCGCCGAAGGACCTGCTGCACCATGTGTGACTGCGTCAGTGTGATGGTGCGAGCGGCTCTGTCCCTGGTGATCTGCAGGCCAAGGTAGCGCTGCAGTTCACCCAGGTCAGTGCACTTGTGTCTCTTCTGCAGTTCGGAGTTCACCTGAGCCAGAGCTGCCCTGTCTGCTGTAGCAAAGACCAAGTCGTTGACGTAGACAAGGATAAAGAAGGGAGTAGAACCCTCACGAACAAACAGCGAAGGGTCGGCAGACGAAGGACGAAACCCAAGGTCACGAAGCGTGGAGCGAAGAGTGTCGTGCCACTCACGGGGCAACTGGCGGAGACCGTAGACTGGTCGCCTCAGGCTCCACTGGGTCCCAGGTGGGAAGGTGTCCGTGAAGCCAGGAGGACGGCGCAGCCAGATCTCCTCGTGCAGTCGGCCCTGGAGGAACGCAGTGGAGAAGTCGAGGGAGTGCAGCTCGTAGTCTCGCTGCGCTGCTATGTGGAGTAACACCCGAAGAGTAGTCATCTTCGGGGTCGGGGCGAAGGTCTGGAAGAAGTCAACTCCCTCACGCTGACTGAAGCCCCTAGCCACGTAGCGCGCCTTGAACACCGGCGGTGCTCCAGGCGGCCGCTTCACCTTGAAGAGCCACATGCCATCGACTACGTTCGCTCTGGGAGGGGGAACTGCGTTGACGTAGGTGCCTGTGGATCTCCAAGACGCCAACTCTGAGTCCATAGCCGCTTTCCACTGAGAGGCCCACGCCCCTGACACTGCCTCGCGGTAAGTGCGAGGAGTCGGTATGTCAAGGGCGTCGGGGTCTCCCTCAGGGGAGAGCAGCATGGCACACACAGAGGGAGAAGCGGCTGCCCAGTACTCCAGCTCAGACTCTCTGTCCTCTAGGACGTCACAGCCAAGGGCAAACCCACCCCCGACGGACAGAGGACGGTAGGGAGGAGCTGGCACCACACGGGTGGCGTAGTCAAGGCGGCTGGCGGCAGCAAAGTCAGCGACAGCGGCAGTAAGAGCGGAGGCAGACGACGGAGGGAAACGAGAGTCGGTGACAAGAGGCGAGGACACGTGCGGCAACAGGACGAACAGCGCGGTAGTAGTCAAAGAAAGGGGTGGGGAGGGCTGGGAGAGAGGACGGAGGAGGAGACGGGAGAACGGACACAGGAGAAGGAGAACGACGACGAGACGAACAAAGGAGGGCAGTGTGGAGGTCAGTAACAGGGGACGAGTGACGAGCACGCGGAGGACAACGAGTGATCAAGTCGCGACGGACAGAGGGAGGAGGAGACTGAGAGTGAGGAGAAGACCAGACCGCCGGACGGTCGTCAGGAGGAGGCAACGGAGGAACAAACACAGGAGGAGACTGGGAGCGGACAGGAGGAGAGGAGGAAAGGCCAAGGGCCCGCAGGCCACTCACAGGTGGGAACAACCGCCGCTCCAGAGGAAGCTGCGGTGGCGGCTGCGGCTGCTGCTGCTGCGGCTGCGGCTGCGGCTGCTGCTGCTGCTGCTGCTGCTGCCGCTGCTGATCCAGAACGTCCAGCACCCGCAGCTCCTGCCGCTCCCTCTCCAACCGCTCCTGCTCCTCACGCTCACGCCGACGGGCAGCCTGGAGACGCGTGTCGTGGCGGTGGGGAGGCGGAGTGGACTCCGCAGAACCAGGGTCTCCAGCGTCAGTCTCCTCAGACTCAGCACCCCCAGAACCAGTACCGCCAGTGCCAGGACCTCCAACTCCAGCACCCCCAGAACTAGCACCGCCAGTGCCAGCACCCCCAACTCCAGCACCCCCAGAACCAGCACCTCCAGTGCCGGCACCTCCTGCTCCAGCACCCCCAGAGCTAGCGCCACCTGCGCCAGCACCTCCAGCTCCAGCACCCCCAGAGCTAGCGTCACCTGCGCCAGCACCTCCAGCTCCAGTACCCCGCGACCGAGCACCCCCAGACCGAGCACTGCCAGCGGCTGCACCTCCAGCTCCAACACCAACCGAGTCCACAGTAACCTGTCGCGGAAGTGCCGAAGGCTGCTGAGGGGACTGTGAGGAGGACTGCGGGGAGGGAGACGCTACCTGACGCGCGACCGAGGGTAGAGGGGTAGCGTGGGACACACCAGACGGGGCAGGACCAGGGGGGGGCGGGGGTACCGGAGGAGCGGGAGCAGGAGGAGGAGAGGGTGCGAGGAAGAGAGGGGGAGGGGGTACCGGGAGACCTCGACAGGGGTACCGGGTGTAGTAGGACACGGACTCGTCAAACCGGACGTCACGGGAGTCTAGGAACTGGTGGAGGGGAGGGTGGTAAAAGGACCAGTCAGCAGAGTCCACTGGGAAACCGAGGAAGACACAGGGGACGGCGCGTGCCGAGAGCTTGTCCGCGGAGGTGTCGCGAACAAGCGCAAGGCAGCCCCAGACTCGAAAGGCCGACTCAACACCAGGGGATCCAGTCCAAAGACTGGTCGGTGAAGCCTCGGGCCGCGAGACACGCGGCTGGAGGTTCAGCTGGTGTGCGGCGTAGCGAACCGCGTGGGGCCACAGAAAATGGGGCGCACGGGCATGAATCATGGACGTGCGGGCGATGTCCATGACCAAGCCTATGCGGCGCTCAGCAACCCCATTCTGCTGTGGGGACTCTGGCAGCGTCCAGGACTGGGTGATGCCCTGTTCGCCGCAGAATCCGCCGAGAATGCCGGAGCGAAACTCGCCCCCACGGTCGGAGTGAAGACAACTGACTCGACGACCACGAGTGCCCTCAGTGGCTAGAAGCCACCTGATCAGCGTAGCAGTCACCTCGGACTTCTTCGCAAGAGGGAACACTGTGGTGTACCTGGAGAAGTCGTCGACGACCACCAGAAAGTAACGCTCCCTCCCAGACCCCTGCGTCGGGGCAGGGCCCCAGACGTCCAAGTGGAGAGTCTCGAAGGGAGCGGTGGCCGGACGAAGGGAGGAGGAGTGGGGAGTGGCGCGTAAGCGACCGGCGACGCACGGAGAGCAAGGAGGGGCAAGCGAGAGAGGGAGCGACGGGAAGGTGCGTGGGAGACCTGTGACTAGTCCCTGACTGAGCATGCCACGAAGGCGAGGGATCGACGGGTGGCCAAGACGGTGGTGCCACAGGACGGTGCGGTGGGCGAGATTGCGACAGGAGCAAGACGCAGCGACTGGACTGGACACAGCGACCGGACTGGACACGACTACCTGGCTAGACACAGCAACTTGACTGGGGACCTGGGCCGGAGGGGACGCAACAACCTGAGGGGAGGACGCGACCGGGGAGCGCTCGGTGTGGAGAACGTAGAGACCGGAGCGGGGCTCCCTGGTGAACGTTGCCAGAACAGCACCTGTGGTAGCGTCAGTACAGACTGCAGTCCGCCCCCCCCCCACAAAGGTAACCGTGATCCCCTTGTCCTGGAGGTATCCAACACCCACCAAGTTCCAAGTGAATGAGGGGATGTGGAGGCCGCGCAGGACACCAGAGGGGACCACAGGGCACGGGAGGGTGGTGGAGCTACGCGCAACGGCTGGTCTAGAGGTAGGATCAGCCAGAGCCATCGACACAGGTGTGAGGAGTGGCGTAAGGGTCGTGTGGTCGCGGAAGAAGCACTGAGACGGGCCCGAGTCCAGCGTGAACGACAGAGAGGCCTCAGCCGGAGGGTCACCTGACCCAGTCGCTACACAAGCACCTAGAGCAGCAACACAAGCACCTAAGCTAGACAGGCACAAGGCTACACTAGCAGGAGGCAAGCAAGCTAAACTACGAACATGCGAGCACACAGATCCATCAGCACTAAAGTCAGCATCAACATACAAAGCATGCTGACGCGCATCGTCCATGGACAGATCAAAGACATCAATCTTACGGGCTAACAGACGAGACCAGCGAGGCGTGACCGCCAGAGGGCCCCAACGAGCCCGGTAGAGGTCGTCGAGGCGGCGGAAGCACCGCGCGGCAGAGTGGTCGTCGCGACCACAGAGACAGGGGCTGCCCGGCCCGGTGAGGCACCAGTGGGTGCAGGGGCCAGCGTCACGGCGAGGGGGGCGAGGGGCCCAGCTGGAAGAGCTGCTGCTGCGGCCGGTGCTCCCGGGGCCTCCCGGACCCCACTGCGGCGGGGGACCCCAGTGCTGCTGCGGACCCCACTGCAGCGGGGGCCCCCACTGCTGGAACTGCTGCGGTGCCTGCTGCTGCTGCTGTCCCAGCTGCTGCTGCTGTCCCTGCTGTGACTGGTGCTGCTGTGGCTGCTGCTGCTGGGGGGCAACGCCCCCACCGGTCGGGCCACCACCTGTGGGTGGGCCTGTCTGTCCTGCGCCTCCTCCAAGGCCCCCTCCCCCTGGTGCACCACCGCCGCCGCCGCCTCCGCCACCACCGCCGCTCCCACCTCCACCACCACCTCCACCGCCGCCTCCACCGCCCCCACCTCCCCCCTTCCCGCCCTTCTTGCCACTCTTGCCCCGTTTCTGCCAGTCTGCGGCAGAAACGGCAGCGGTGTCCTCAGAGACCGACACAGCAGCAGAAGCGCGGGTAGAGGTGAAAGTGGGAAGCTGAGGGGCGGCACACCCCGCAAAGAGACGGGGGGCCACCGCATCAGTGGCGGAGGCAACGGTGAGGAGGCTGCTCTCGATGGTCCCGAGAGCACTCTGAAGGAGGTCTATAGTGAGCTCAGTGGGGTGCTTCTGAAGAAGCGCGTCGCGGGCAGTGGCAAGGCGGTCAGGGAGGCGGGTGACTAACCAGTGCACAGTGAGCCACATGGGGGGGGGAGCAACAAGGAGCTGTGCGTCGGTACAAGCAGCACGGAAACCGGCGTCAAGCGAGCGGAGGTGAGTCACTAGGTCGGAAACAGTCGCAAACGAGCCGAGGTCGGGAAACACAAACGGCATGAGGAGGCGACTGAGGGAGGCAGAGGAGGGGGTGGAGTAGCGGGCAACAATAGCATCCCACACCCCCTGGGCTGTCTCCACCTGGTCAAAGTGGGCGGCCTCAGTCGGGGGGAGAAGCTCCGACAGTGTGAGTGCGGCGGCAGCGTCACGCGAGAGCCACACGTCCCTGGCCAGGACCCGACGGTCGTACTCCGCCTGGGCCGTAAGGGTCGGCTCCGGGGTGGTCAGCAGGGCGGCGGGGGACGGGGGGGCTTGTAGGGCACCAGACGCGTGAGCCCACAGAGTGGCGCCGTCCTGTCGCTGGCTGGTGAGGAAGCGTGTGGTCTTGCGCTGCCAGGTACCGAACTCGATTGCGCGTCCCTCCGCATCGAAACGGAGGCGACGGGCCTCCATAGCGGAGCCCATGCTAGAGGCGGCTGGAGCACGGCGGAGGCGGAGCTAAGAACGAGGAGGAAAACTACGGAGCGCCAGGAGAGAAAGCGGCGGAGCGAGAGACTAGGAGTACCGAGCGACCTAGACTAGGCATGAAATCGTTGATCGCCAGCTACAGGTGCGAGGAGCGAGGTATGAGCGGCTAAAACGGCTCTAACCTAGGTGACCGGCGAGAGAGAGCGGCTGCCAGCCGCTGAGGGATAGACCAGTGTCAGCAGAGCTGGGGAGGGCCCCGCGCACAAGGCGGTGGTGGGGCTAAGGTGATGAACAGTGAGAGAGGGGCGGGGAGGCCGAATGCGACGGTGAAAATGGGCGGGAGGAGGATCTGACGGTGGGAATTGGGCGGGGAGGGGAGGTTGACGCGACGGGCTTGGGAGGGGAGGGCGACGCGACGGGCAGGGGGAAGGGAGGCGACGTGACGGACAGGGGAAGGGGAGGCGAACGCGACGGGCAGGAGGAGGGGAGGCGACGCGACGGGCAGGAGGAGGGGAGGCGATGCGACGGGCAGGGGGAAGGGAGGCGACGCGACGGGCAGGGGAAGGGGAGGCGAACGCGACGGGCAGGAGGAGGGGAGGCGACGCGACGGGCAGGAGGAGGGGAGGCGACGCGACGGGGAGGGGAAGGGGAGGGGTGGCGACGCAACGGGGAGGGGGAGGGCGCGACGGGCAGGGGGAGGGCGCGACGGTCAGGGGGGGGGGGGGAGGGCGCGACGGGCAGGGGGAGGGCGCGACAGTGGGAGGGGCCGGGCTAGGCGCGCGGTGAGGGCGTGGAGGGCGCGGAGGGTACTAACGTGCGGAGGGCGCGGAGGGCACGAACGTGCGGAGGGCGCGGAGGGCACGGAGGGCGCGGAGGGCACTAACGTGCGGAGGGCGCGGAGGGGACGAACGTGCGGAGGGCGCGGAGGGCACGGAGGGCGCGGAGGGCGCTAAGGCGCGGAGGGCGCTAAGACTAGGCTAGGGCTAGGCTAGGGCTAAGGAACTCGAACCCACAATGATACCATCTCAAGAGTAGAATGCAACGGAATGATGAGACTAGCAAGTGTGGAAGTACAAATATGCAACCCTAACAACTGTACTCCCTATTGTGCTACTCACTGTAGCCTACAAGCATAAAATTACATTTGACACCCCCCCCCCCCCGCCCAACGCCCCTCAAACCGGGGCGGACACCAAGTACTGAGCCTCCACCCACAGTGCTCCCCCCATCTCCTCAATGTCCTCCCCCTCCCTGTCCACCAAATCGATATCTGCTCCTCCCATAAACGATGCAGCGCGAAGCAGGATGACCCGAGCCTGCGCACGCTGCAAGGCCACCCCAATCATAGCCTTCAAGGATCCCATGAGATAAGAGGAAAATGACTGATCATCCTCCCGACATGCCCCCCTTGAAACGGCAAGCCCGAAATGTGCGTCCCCCTGCTGCCGCAGCCAACGCCGAAAACGTCCACCTAAACATCCCCACGTCTCAACAATCAGGGGGGTGAACTGCACTCCCCTGTTGCGCGCCAACAGCGGCGCGTAATCCCCAGTCTTCCTGCGCTCCCACTCCCTGGCCGCCACTCCTATGGACCGCCCACACTGCCCAACCAAGGATGGAGACAGTGACAATGGGTCGGCAACGCTGACCTCCAAAGCATGTGCCTCCCCCGCCGTTGGCCGGCGCACCGCGACATCCACCCGCTTCCCTATCAACATCGAATCGTCCTCCAACGACACCACCCCTCCCGACGCCTTAGCGATCCTAGCTACTGCAAACTTCACCTCATCGTGCACCCGGGACGGCCCATGCTGGTGCTTGCAGCGCAGTGCATGGTGCGGGTCTGCCGGGTCCGTGTACTCAGTGCCACACACGCAACGGCCCGCGACGTGCAGCTGCTGAATCGGAAGGCCCAGACGCACAGCCGCGGCAATGCCCCACTCAGCGGCTGTGAAGGTCAAATCTGAATGCGCAGGCACCGCCAAGACCCATGCACCAGCCCCCGGGCCCTGAAGGGATGTGAAACGGGCCAGGGTAGCATCATCACGGGCCATACGACGGAGGGCCTGGAGCTCCTCCACGGCTAATAGCCGCTGTCGTGTGTGGAAAAGTCAAACTGGAGGGGCAGCTACGCAGAGGTGGAGACCCGGCATCTCCTGGCGCACAGCGTCAGGCAGCTGCTCGAGACTCTTGGAGAACCACGGGTCGAGAGAGTCCACCCCCCCCGAAGAGCTGAGATAGTCGGAAAACATTGCCTCCTCTCCCTCTATCCCCAGCTGAGCCACACCTCGCGCTGCCTGCGTCCATCCACATGCATAGGATAGTGGGCTCAACGACGCCGCAGCCCGTACACCGAAACCACCCAGGCGGACTGGGAGGTGCAGCTGCAGACGGGCCAACCTAGACCGACCAGGGTCGTGCTCCCAAGTGCCCGGAGGGAAAAGCTGCTCAAAACAGTCCTCCACCCTGCGTTATCAACAGGGCTGCGTTATCAGCCCCATTCCGGCCTTTGTTTTTGCAGCAGGGCTGCGCTATCAGCCACTTTCTTGGATCTAGGTGAAAGGGTTGTATTTTTCTCGTTCAGGATTCATTTTGGCTGATTTTCGGTGAGAAATGGTTTCTGAATTTCCAGCCTGGCAAGAATGTGTGCATGAACATGGAAGACAGGGAAGACAACTGAAATCAAGTATACGGTATTAGTAGAACTACAGCCCTTACAAGTTAGCTACAGCTGCCTTCATCGCACGAAGCATGCGCATGAAGAGATTACCAAACGACCATCCAGCAGCAAAAGCTGCTCATGCATTCAGACGCAAAGAGGCAGCCTGATTCTAGTTTAGTGGCATAAATATATCAAGCCCGAAAGATGCCCCTACTTGGACTACTGGAAAAGGCTACTATTCGGAAACCTAATATTCTAAGAGTGACCGGTACTCGGGACTACAACACAGGCGTGCTACACAAAATAAATTCCACTCCCCACCCCACCTGTTAGATACAGTATTGCACCATAATGAACCACGTATCACCGTAGTGATCCAAGTAAGCACCTCACCAACCCATGTCCTCACCTCATCCATTTGTCTACCTCCACCTGGTGGCTACACTCGTGGTATACCTTACCTACCTCATATAGTTGTCAGTGGTACATACCCCGGGATCTGTTGCTGTGCTGCTAGTGCCACTGCCACTGCCACTGCCACTTCCACTGCCCACCCTGTGGTAGCGCAGGTGCTGCTGCAGTTGTCGCTACAGCCAGGGCCACCTCC